CGAACAATTCGTATGGTGGAAAATGGGATTAAACCTTGTTATGTATTCGATGGTAAACCACCTGTTTTAAAATCTGGTGAAGTTAGTAGAGAAACAAATTTTTTTTTAAAAGTTTTGAAAAACAGTTTAAAAAAAAAAAAATTTAATAAAAAATTATAATTACATAAACAGCTTGCAAAAAGATTAGAACGCAGAAAAGAAGCAAGCAAGAACCTTGAGGAAGCATTTGAAAATGGTCATTACCATTATAATGATATTATAACGATGTTGTTAATATAAATTTTTGATAAAGTGTTAAATGATAGTTTCCACATTTATATATATATATATTATAGGTGATGTTGCAGATATTGATAAATTTAGTCGTCGTACGGTAAAAGTTACACCTGAACACAATAATGAATGTAAAGAATTATTGGGGTTAATGGGAATTCCATATGTAGAGGTACTATTTTCTTATTTGTGACATTTTAATCTTAATATTTATCCATGTTGATGTAATGAAATATCAATTTTAAAGGCTCCATGTGAAGCAGAAGCACAATGTGCAGCTTTAGCCAAAGCGGGAAAAGTAAGTACTTTGAGTTCAAATAACAGGAGGCAAATAAATAGATATATTAATATTATTATCAAATCAAAATAAAGGTTTACGCTGCAGCGTCAGAAGATATGGACACGTTGACATTTTCAACACCTGTTTTATTACGGCATTTAACATTTAGCGAGAATAGAAAATTACCGATTAATGAGATTAGTCTTAATAAAATTATCCAAGGACTTGAAATTTCAATGGATCAAGTAAATTAATTATTAAAAAATATTAAATATTAATTCATCGATCGGATTTATTCTATATATATATATCTACCCTTTTATATAATTACTAACAAGATCATGTGTTTATGTTTGTATATATATAATAGTTTATCGATCTTTGTATTCTGTTGGGATGTGATTATTGTGATTCGATCAAGGGAATCGGACCTCATCGTGCTGTAGAACTTATCAAAAGATATGGAAATTTAGAAAAAATCATAGAAAATTTAGACACTAAAAAATATCCAATACCGGAAGACTGGCCATATAAAGAGGCACGTGAATTATTCAAAAACCCGGATGTAAAGGATCCAAATGAAA